TCTCTCTCTCTCTCTCTCTCTCTCTCTCTCTCTCTCTCTCTCTCTCTCTCTCTCTCTCTCTCTCTCTCTCTCTCTCGCTCGCTCGCTCGCTCACAGAAATACGCACGCGCGGAGAGAGAGGGATGCACTGGCTCAAAGAGAAAGACAAACGAGCACTGAGAGCCGGGGACGTAGATTATGACGTGGCAGAATACATGATGCAGTTGTATGGAAGTTGAGAACACGGTGGCAGACAAGGAGACCTTGTCAATGACGTTGTCAATGGCGTACGCGCATGCCCCGAAGACACACAGCCACCCAGAGACGCAGACGACAAGTACACAAGCAACCCACGAAAGAGCAATGACAGAACACTCCAGCTCGGAGCTGATGGCGGACTGTCTACTTCTTCTGGACAACTTGACAAGCAGACAGGGCAGCGGAGGAAAGTGAGCAGAGGACTCGAGAACACGGGCAATGTTAAGAGCTCACGTTGTACGCCCCCGCAGTGCTGGGCCTTCGCGCACCACCTCCGTAGCCATACCCATGACCATTGGCCTCGTCTTGCCGGCTGTACTGCATTGCGATAGCACTATCCTTGCATGCCAAATCTGATGGATGACGTGTCAGACACAGGTTCCTCCTCAGCAGACGTGACGACACTTCCAGCTGCCCAGGGCGATGGACTGCGCAGATGAGACGTCTTTCCTCCCTACCCCCCTTTCGATCTGGATCTGACCTCCTCCCCTCCCCTCCCCTCCCCTCCCCTCCCGTCCCGTACCTCTCACACACACGCGTACAAGCCCTTCATCAAACACTTCCCCACCACCCCCAACACAACCCTAGCGTGAACATGGAGACCTCGACAGATGGCCTCCCGCCTCCCGCCTCGCCTTCACCTCGTCAATGGGCAAGCACTACGTCGGCGGACCGCCTGCGGAGATCTCTCCCGCGCCAACTCGCTGCTAACCCTACAAGACAGCGTAGACCTCCGAATTGGACCAGACTACAAAACCGACCACGGACCCAAAATTGGACTACTCTCCACTGGACATACGCCACAGGCCCCACGAGACCAGAAGATGATGGGGCGGCCCTAGGGTGAGGACATCACCCCCCCACTGGAGATGGGTGGCCATTTTAGTGACGGGAGGGGTTTTTTTTTTTGTTTTGTTTTGTTTTGTTTTTTTGACGGGAGGTTTGCAGTCCGTCTGAAAGGCCAATCTTCAAAAAAAAACAAAAATGACGAGGTCCCGCTTGTAAAGATTCAGAGGTACTTGCCGTCGATCTTCGTCATCTACGGCCAATGCCTGCTGATTGAGTTCAGCAAGTGCGCCCTCCATGCCAGCTTTCTCACGGCTGTCAACGAACTCGAGTGTGCCCTCTCTACTCAGATGGGCCATGACCCGAGGGTAGGTCCCACTTACACGGATGAAGCGATACTGACCGTAGACAGCAGAGATCAACGGCCAGAATCTCTTAATCTGTGCAAGTGGGACCTTGCCCCCGCTGCGACTCAGATCTGTGCACCCAAGTGATCTTTTGCTCCTCGTGAAAAACCGCCACGAGCTGGTTCCTCCCACCGGCACCTCAAATGGTTAGGCTTCAACCCGCTGACAGCAAACTGTGACCCCGCAGGTGGCGTGAACTTTCGGCCAGTAACGGTTTTCACCTGCGTCGCACTGTGGGCACGGTGCACTCGCATTACCCCCCCCGTTCGGTGCTTCCTTGGAGCTACCGGGGGGCAAGTCCCACTTACCCGAATGATCGATTTCTGACCGCAGATTTGGAAGATCAACGACCCGAAATCAAGGATCATCGTAAGTGGGACTTGGCCCCGGTTGGCCGTCTACGGGTTTCACCGCCGTAGCATTGAAGCACTCCACAGAGCACGTCGGAAAACGAAACGGTAAGTAACGGCCCTACCTCAGTTCGCAGCCCGTCAGGGATGCGCTTTCCCCCCCTGAGACATTCAACGTTCAACGTCAGTTTCAACGTCGGTGGTCGTCGGGAGGGTGGGCATTTGAGGTTTTGGGGCCTTGCAAGGGCCAGGAACGCGTAGGACCGGTAGCTGCGAGTAGGAGGCCGAGGAGCCCGCAGTCCTTTTTCGAAATTGAAACGGTGCGGGTAGTCCTTTTTCAAAATTGAAACGGTGCAGGTCCTACACGTTGTATTCGAATACAATCTGTACCCTTTCTATTCGGATTTCGAAAAGAAAAACCTCTTGTATTCGGGAAGGGTAAGGTAGTGAATCTGTTGTATGTATGTTTTGTCATGTTCGCTATACACAACTCGAAGAGAGTGTGTGTGTGGGGTCCCGGTTGATGCCTTATTCACGATGTTCACGGGACGCTGGACCCAGTTTCCAGCAGGTGGCGCTCCCCATCAATAGACAAGAGAATGTATGTGCATATGTGTGTGTGTGCATGTGTGCGTGTGTGTGTGTGTGTGTGTGTGTGTGTGTGTGTGTGAGAGAGAGAGAGAGAGAGAGAGAGAGAGAGAGAGAG